CCGCCCTGGAGCTCGGGACGCCGGGCTCACGGCACCGCTCCACTCCCTTTAGGGCCTTTATGCCTGAGGGTCTCGACCAAGGCTGAATGAATGACATCTGAACCTGGCCTTTTGGAACTTCCAGTTTAACCTCGTGAAATTCGGGGAGAACAATAATAATGATAATGTGTGCCTCAGAGGGTGGCTGTGAGGACCCGAGGAGGAAAATAAAGGAGCTGTACCCAACGGGCGGAAGGGAACTTCCCAAAGGGCTGTTAAGTCACCCCGGGCTTGTCCATCCATATTTGTCTTACATGACCGGCAGAAAAATCATTTGTGAGGCAGACAGATTTACTCAAAAAAGCTCCCAAACCTGTGCCACTGAGGCCTTAGAATAGGGGCCATGGGCTGGATCATGGGCCTCGATTTATTTTTACACTGGGCATACTTAAATCTTACCGGGTGATGGAACTCCACGTGCATCATAGCTTAGATGCCATTGATTCAGAATCGGAGGTATTCTAAGTAGCAGTGGGCTGGCAACAGCCTGATCCTTACACCCAAGTGTCTGTCCTGCGTGGGAGAACTATGATCCGTAAGCATCGTATTTGAATCTCCAGCATCCCCATTTGTCTGTCCTCCAAACAGCATTTTTCTCAGTCCTCCACTGTCAAGTCTGCAAATGTACAGTATGAGTCTAGAGAGAGCCTGACGTCGGAAGATTAGTGGAATCCATTTGCCTTTTTTCTACACCTCCGCAGAAATTTTACGCTGTGCATCTTCACGCCTTCTCAACCTACTTAGCTCTCTTGAACAGTGAGGTGGGTAATCTTAGAATTCTTTATTTGGGGGGTAGAGGTAGGTTAATTAATACTTTCTGTACTCATAAGCTGTCTCAGATACGGACTTCAGGAAAATGGTGGTCCACGATGATTCCTACAGTTTATTATTTCCAAAATTATGAGCCTGAGGACATATACTGTTAGATGGGACTGAACCGTTGAGGTCACAAGGTGCTTCTGGGTTCCCTACTGAGAACTGAGAACTGAGTCTGGGGGCCTAGTAGCAGAAGCATCCTCCACAGAGCACAGAGCTAAGTCAGAACCTCAGAGTCATTCTGGAGCACTTCTCCCCTCTGTGGTCCCCAAATAGCATAAACCACCAAGTGATCTCGATGCTACCCTAGTAATAAGGTCTCGAGCTGATTACTTCTGTCCGCTGATCGACGGCATTATCTTTGGTTTAAGTCTCAGCCACAAACATCCTGGATTATTGCAGCAGTGGTCTAACTAGAGTTGTCTTGCTTCCAATTTTGCCTCATTCCTTTCTTGCCAGTTTTTCAATTTTAGCACAAGGCCTTTCTGAAAGGCCAAATCAAGACATGCTTCTTCATTAAAACCCGATCATGATCTCGCAGATGTCCTCCAAGTAATATTCAAACTCTCTATGTGGCACAAAGGCCTTTCGTGATCTAGCCTTGTTGACCTCTCCGATCTCATTTCCTGCCACTCCTCTCTCCTACCAGGTATCCTTCCCCCTTCCTCGCCTCCTTCACTACCCCCTCCCTCCACAAAGGGATAACCCTCAAACTGTAGAATGCTCAGTTCCCTGGAGGTATCTGTTCTCTTTTCTTATTGCACATGCCGGTCCCTTTGTACCCCACCCACCCATCCTCAACTCCTAAAGATACATTTAGTTCCATAGTAGAGACAGCTTCTTCCAGGAGCCCTCCCCTGATCCTCCAAGAAGTGGCAGATCCCGCCCCCCCTTACATACTTCGAGGACACCTGCATTTAATTTACCCCAGGAGAGCTGTTACGCTCTTGCATTAGAATTCCCTATTTATTTGTCTGTCCTCACCAGGGATCGTAGGCTGTGCCTGGTACAGGTCCTGTCACCCAGTGGGCACTCACGTAGACCAGTGAAATGAATGAGTGAGTTCTATTACCCCATAAGGGGCCCATCAGTACAGGAGAAAGAACATAGATACAACTTCTGTTCTGAAAATGACCCAGGGAAAGCTGCCTCCATTATGCCTTTGTATTTGATGATGGGGTGTGTGCCTAAAAAAAATCCAACATGTGTTCAGTGAAAGCTTTTACTGCAGAAGTGCAGGCAGTGAGAGGCTGTGCGGTGAGAGGCTCCCTGTTGTCACCATAGCAACCCTGCGGAGGGAAAGGCTGATGATTTAGTGTTCAAATGCCTCTTAGCTCTGTACTTTTGGAACCCAACCCTGTTTTTCCACTGTTCT